GCGCAAAAGCTTTTTATAATTATTATCAAATTACTGTGTAAAAAGCCATTTTTTATTTGCTTTAGTGAGTAAGCAAAGGTTTGGACTAACAAATAAAGTATCGTCCAAAGGTTAATCGGAAATACTAGTAGTATTATTTTAGTAGTAAACGTAAGGCTTTTAAACAAACTGTTTGAGTTGTTTTGTGAATAAAAGCAAGTTTGCAATCGGCCAATAAATGTAAACAACTGAAATAAATTGATCTCAAGTGAATATAAGAAAATTTATAGAAGCCCTTGAGCTTTGTAAAAGGGCCGTCTAGTACCATTTTAAGTGTGCTCACAGGTTCATTTAGATGCAGTAAAGTAAAATTGTAAATTAATTTAATTGATAAGCTCCGAATTATTGAAAATTGCTTGCAACTAACTAACAAAGAATTGCTTAAAAGTTAAGCCATAATTGTTAATTAACTGAGATAATGCCACCATTTAACAAGAATCAAAAAAATTTATTATTATTATAATTTAACTTTAAGAAACAATATAAGGATAAAATAAAAAAAATAAAAAAAAATAAAAAAATAAATAATTATAGTGGAGATTAAATTAGTCGTTCATCGATCTTTCTTTACTATAATTACTAGAATCTAGTGTTAAATATTTAATTAATTAATATTGTTAGTAATAATTAATGGATAGTAATTTCCAATTGATTAATAATGGAATTTTTATTTACCTTTGTTAAGAGAAAAGAGTTAAAATCAAGATTATATAACGAAGTATCATTACTTGTATAACTTTTAGATCTAGCAATCTCTTCATTTAATATTCTACTTGTATGATATGCATCCGGATGTGATTTCTGTGCTTGTTGCAAAGCACTTCTACTACCACCAACACTGCTGCTGCTTCTACCATCATTATTAAAAAATTTGAATAATCTTTTTATTAAACTTTTATTATCATTAATAATTTCTTTGAATTTATTATCAGCAAAATCAAACAGCTCTTTACTAGTTGGTCTTTTTGATGGATCCACATCCCAACACCTCTGCATCATTTGCACATAATCATCAGGCATCACAGGTAATATTGGTGGTCGTAAATCTTTTTCACATATATCAAAAATCAAACAATGATCATGAGCTCTATTATCAAATGGTGGATGGCCTGCAAAT